AGCGTCTAGAACAGTGGCTGACACAAAGTCAATGTCCAATAAATATTGCTATTATTATTTTTATCATGAAATAGCTAATATGCTATGTTGACTAAGCAAATGCCTATAACATTTTCTCTGTTATTCACTGATGCATCTCTGGAACCTAAAACAGTGGCTGGTACATGATAGGTAATCAATAAATATGTGTTGAATTAAATCACTGAAATTTTTTATTTTATTGGGGGAAAAGTACTGAGCTACATCCTCAGCCCTTATTATTTACTTATTTTTTTATTTTGAGACAGGGTCTTGCTAAGCTGCTGAAGCTGGCCTCGAATTTATGATCACCCTCCTGAGTTGCTGGGATTATAGGTATGCACCGCCGTGCCCAGTTCAATTTTTTAAGTCCAAGAATATTTATAAGGAAGGATTTAGATCATAAAGGTAATTTATATATAAATTTTCAAGTGTAAGTCAAAGACATTACATAAAATGGATAGGAACAAAAAGATAAAAGTTAGATAATAGTTTCTTTACAAAAGCAGTTTTTTCCTATGCCAATAGCAGAACTTTTTTCCTACCTTAGCAGAACTGAAGGTTCCTAATTCTTTTAAAACTTCTAGGAAAATTCCAGTTCTCAATTTCCAAAGACCCCAAAGAGTATTTTTACCTGAGATCTTTTATGAATACCTCAAACTCAATATATCCGAGATTAAATCACACTGTAAAGTGGAAAAGAAGAATCAAAATTTGGCAAGAAGTAGACAAACATGTGCTCACAGGACACAGGAAAGTCTGAAAAGACATCCAGTCAAGGGTTAACAACTCAAAAAGGTAGAAGCTGCAGCAAGAGGAATAGTATGGTTGAAATAGAAGACTTACTTCTTTTTTTTTTTTTGGTACTAGCGATTGAACTCAGGGGAATTCAACCACCGAGCCACATCCTCAGCCCTATTTTATATTTTACTTGGAGACAGGATTTCACTGAGTTGCTTAGCACCTCGCCATTGCTGAAGCTGGCTTTGAACTCGAAACCTTCCCGTCTCAACCTCCCGGGCCACTGCGATTACAAGGGTGAGCCATTGTGCCCAGCAGAAGAGTTATTTCTAAATTCAAACACCTGAAGTCTGAATTTTTCTACAATATTGGTTACTTTTGTCATGTGTAAAAAATAAAATACAAATATCATTATTCTTACTGAACATAGACATGTACTTCACTTCCTTATTAAAGTCATTATTACTCTCAATCAAAAAATAGAATCACAAATTCCTCCACATGCTATGCAGCCTCAATTCAAGAACTTCTGGTGTTTCCCTCTCCCCACCCTTCTTCTTGCCATAGATGTCAGATTTTTATCCTTGGGTATACATTCCAGATTCTTGGTAGATGCTAAAGCCTCATATAATACTGAATACCATATATACTACTTTCTCCTATACATACATACCTATGATAAAGTTTAATTTGTATATTAGGCATTAAAAGAGGTTAAACAATAACTAATCATAAAATAAAACAATTATAACTAGATAGTCTGATAAAAGTTATTTAAAACTTACAAATTGTTATTTCTAGAATATTCCACGTAATATTTTCAGACCCTGAGTACCTAAAATCACAAAAAGTAAAAATACAGATAAGGGGAGCACTGCTATATCTTCAAATTCTGCCCATCTGAATATCTTCTGCACTTCATCTCTAGTATGATTCTGTTAAAATATCACTTTTAACACAGTACCCCCCCTCCAATTTAAAGTATGCAACATTTTCTACCATGTTTTACTTCTCTTATAAAGCTTTTAAGTCCCTCTATAACCCGATTTCACTCTTTTGGCTATTTTCCCTGAATATTCTCCAAATGACTAGCTGCATATGTCAAGCTGGTCACCTTATTGGGTACTGTTATTAATCTCACTTGTACATCTTATTTTATGCTATTCTCCAACCCAGAATTCTCTGTACCTTTATATAACCACACATAGCTCAACTCAAATTTCATCTTTTCTGTGAACCCATAGCCCACAAACACCTCTACTTTCTCCTACTCCTTTTGCATTTACTGCCTATACTATGCAATAATTGAGAGTACTAGTATTGAAGTCATTTTTTAAAATTTAGCATTTGCTTTCGCTGCCTGTACACATATTTCACACATAACATAATACATTAAAAAAAATCTGCTCCTGAATACTTGGAGAAACTGTCACCTTAGGAAAATTTAAAAATTATTTATTGAATTAATAACTTCCACTTCTTGCTTTAACTTGAGAACTTTTTTTTTTTAAGGAAGATGTACTATCAGTTTGTTTCCGTTGACATGTTAGAGATTGTGCCTTGTAATCTGTTCCCACACAAAGCACAAGGCTTAGTTCATAGTAGTAGTCAATCAATGTTTGTCAAAAAAAAAAAAGATTTAAAGTAAGGTAGAATACAAGATTGCCCAGTGGTAACTTAAGGTTACAAATTCTATTTTAAATAAGGATAATAATGAAAAAAGAACCTAAAAATGTCTGTCTAGTACATATATCTGAATTAGCATTTTTAAAGTCAACAAACCACAATGGGGAATAATGAGCCTGATAATCACATTCTCACTAAAATGAAGAAAACTGACTAGAAAAAAAAATGGATAATTAGGAATAAGGTTCATATTACAGTGTTACAATGATCCTCAATGACTTTGGAATACCTAATAACATGAAGTGCCCCGCATATTCTAGTTCTGTATATAAATTACAAAAGGTAACTATGTATTCAGGGAATATTTTGAGTACCTAAAAGTATAACATCTGTCCTTATATAGCAAACTTGGTAGCAAAAATACAATCTGGATCTGCCCCAATGGTAACAGTATACTCAAGGATCATTGAGGGGGTCCTGAAAGGAAAGAAGTGAAGGTCAGGAGAGTATCTACTGGTATTATACTTACAAGACAACAATGAATGTTTGCAGTTCCCAGTTTAGAAGTATTGGTGAAATCAAGCATTCAAAAAAATAAAAATTTTACAAATTCAAAAGGTGAAATCCACAATAGCTATTATGATAGTGAAGCATTCATTCATTAATTTATTCCACAAATATTTTCTGGGTGCCTATTATATATTGGCAGTATACTAGGTTACAGAATACAAATACAATCAATTTGTTTCTGGAGAAGGGGAGACATACTCAGACATTTACAAGACAAGAGTTTAAATAAACTCAACAGAAATATGTACAGGATTATGAGAGAAGATAACATAAGTTTCCTAGAAAAGTGATAAGCGAACCTTAAAATCTCAGTAGTATTATTGATGGACCAGGGTGCGAAGGACGCTCTAGCAAAACAACATGCATAAAAGAGTGGATAGCTTAAAATGTTTCAGAAAAGGCAGGTAGCTCAGCATGGTTGCAGATTAGTATGGCAGGGTGGCAGAAGATAAGAGAAATGTTGGCTCTCAAAAAGTACTATGTGATATTAGGAGTTTAGATTTTTAACCTGTAATTAGTGGAGAGCAACTTTAGTATTTATAAGAAGAATGATAGTATCAGATTTGTGTTATAGACAGATTACTTTGGCAGCACCACGGAAATAAGAATCAATCTTGGGGCCTCAGAAGTACAGCATATCTATAGGTATCAATTGTTTAATGGTAACAAAATATTCATTGAAACACTTCATCTAGTTCTCCAATTTGCCACGTTAATAATCATAACCTGATATGTAAATGAGTGCTCCTCCAATAGATGTATTCATATGCATGCTTCACACATCAACAAAATGATTCCAAAATAATAAATGACACTAGCTCCAGATACTTTCAGACATTCACTTAAAATACATAAATACTGTATTCCAGATTACCTTGAGAAGCTCTCAAATAACCTATGATCCCTCTACCACACTTTGATAATCACTGACATAGAAACAGAAAGGAGGAAGCCAATGGATCACTGAGCTATAAAAGTTAATCTAATTAGAGAAAAGACAAAATCGGCCTCGGGAAGTAATAAGTGGAGATGTTGTCTGTGAAAGGGACATATACAGAAAGAAGAGGCAGTGTCCCTAACGTAGAAGAGCTGTCAACGAGTCTGTGTAGTTAGGAGCTCAAGAATGGCCAGTCTTGTAAGAAACGGCCGGTAGACGGAGCGCCTGTGACAACTAGTTGTAGTAGTTTGCGGGCAAAGGAGGAAAAGGACCAAGGTAAGAGGTGGTGTAGGGCATTCTGGGGATGGTTCTACTCACAGCAAACAGGAGACAATGAGAAAGAGCGAGGCACACTTCAGAGCCGAGCAAGGTAAGGGGTGTGGAGCTGGGAGCGGAGACCGGCTCCCCGGCTGGTGGCGGGAAGTTAGCGGATGAGGAAGAGACACCCAAGGGATGACTTGAGTTTGCAGGGACAGGGGAAGCCCAGGGGCATCGGAGGCCGAGAAGGTGGCACATCTCGGGGCCGGGTGCAGAACGCGAACCCCGGGGACGCCGAGAGAGGGACGGGGAGGCTGAGGTGTCACTCGTGACTTGCCGGGGCAGCCCTCCCGCACCCAGCCCGGTACTCACAGAGTTCAGAGTACCGATGGCAGCCCCGGCCCAGCTGCTGCAGATATCGCTGCAGCACGTCCGTGAGGAGGTGGCAGGCGCTGAGCTGCACCGAATCCCAGCCCAGCGCCTGGCAGATCTGCGCCACCGAGACCCTCAACAACGACCTGGAGTAACTCTCGCACATCCCGCTGCGTGGACACCACCGCAGCCCTTGCTGCCACTTCTCTCCAGCCCCGCCGCCTGACCTTAGCAGAGCCCCCGATTCATTCTCTGGGGCTCCCGCGGCGGGGAAATCGTCCCCCCGACCCCCGGCGACCACCTCAAAGCCCCAGCAGCACGGAGCGCGCCAGCCTGAGAGCCGCCATTTTGGACTCGCTCCGCCTCCCGCTGGACGGCCGCCGGGGCGAGGCAGCACGAGACGAATGCCGGTAGCGCCGATGAGAAAGCTCCGCCCCGTGGGAGCAGCGCGATGGGCTCGTTATCGACTCTCGGGCCTGAAAGTGGGCCGGAAGCGGACGTGTTGAGAGAAGGTGGAGGATGCGCCCGGGACAGCAGGTGTTGAGGGGTTTCTGGGGGTCTGGCTAGGAGGAAGAGGGAATGTTGGTGTTCTAAGGGGCAAGGGAGGGAGCTGGTATAGGACGTTGGAATGTTAGACATTTGATACTCGTGGTGTTTATATTAGAGAATTCAGTGTTAAAAGTTAGGGACGTGGGAATTTCAGGTGCTGCCCATACGCAGATCTAATCTGGTCTTGCCTTTGCTAAAACATAAAATAAATACAAGTGCTGCTTGCCACTGTGCGGTTTGAATAAAGTATATACTGTTCAGCACGCTCCGTGCCCAACTAATGGGGACGCCACAAAAGCAGTGACAAGCAATATTTTATTATTATTTCTTCTTTTTTAAAATGGAATCTCATCCCTACCTAAAACTCCTGCCCTCATTCACCTCATTGTGATCCCAACTCTGTTCCAATACAGCTTCCCAGCTACACGCACGCAAAAACAGGTGGGCTGCTAGTGGGCGGGGGTTTGCCAGTTTGAGGATCCCCAGACTCTGACCTACCTAGGGTATAGGTAGGTTTCCTACAAAGGACAAACCAGTACCATAAATGCATGATGTAGGCAGTGTGCTGGGAATGGTTGCCACCAGAGCCTTCTTCAAGGCCCAGCTGAGTAATTGCTGGATCATTCCAAGATGCTGGAAATGGGGGTGTTGAAATAAATAGCTTGGTTTTTAAATATTGAAAACAAAAATTTTGTTTTATTTTGAATTGGGGTTTCTCTATATTGTCCAGGCTATCCTCAAACACTTAGGCACAAATGATCCTCAGCCTCCGCTGCCTAAGTACCTGGAACTTCTTACAGCAGGTGCCCACCAACAGGCCCAGCCTATTTAGGATGCAGTTTAAAGTGTTAATTTGCCAGCCAAACTAATCCCAGAGCTAAACTGGATTTAGCCTGTGAGTAGCCAGTTTGTAATGGCTGATCTACTTGGTTTCTTAAATATGCCCTTCAATATCACACAATATTTAGTATGAGTTTATGTAGCTTCCCTCAATAAATTGTTTCTGAATAGTTCCATATAGCTTCTACAAGGAACTATTCCAGAACCTTGAACATAATGGATAGTCAAGTTTTTATTTGTTTATTATTTTATTTACTTATTTGGTACTGGGGATTAAACCCAGAGGTGCTTTACCACTGAGCTATATCCCCAGTCCTTTTTATTTTTTTTATTTTGAGCAAGGGTCTTACAAAGTTGCTGAAACTGGCCTCAACTTTGATTTCCCTGCCTCAGCCTCTTGAGTCATTGAGATTACAGGCATGCCCCCACCACACCCAGCAATATTTCAGTTTTCAAAAGTCTTGAGAACCCAGAAGTTCTGAAAACATGGTACTTTATTCAAATGACAATCTTCATAGAAGGAGCAAGGTATGAGGTAGCATAATGTTGACCTTAAACTCCACCATTCACACTTCTGTCCCCAAGATTGTCAGGATGTCAAATCTTTGGGATGCTTTTCAGTCCTAGCCTTACTTGACCATTTTGTAGTTATTTGATAATGTTGAACAATTCCTTAATTTTGAAACTAACTATAAACACAGGTATACACTTCATCTAGATTCACCAGTTAACATTTTTGCCACAATTAGTTTATATTTTTGTACTTATATGTACAAAAGTTTTTCCCCAGAAAAAATTGAAAGTAAGTCACAAACTTCAGGACACTTAACCCTGAAATATTTCAGCATGTATTTCCCCCAAAACAAGCATAGTCCCCTGTATGACCATATGTATGACTCCATGCAGCACATTTGGTTCTCCAGGAAGCCAACTCAGAGAGGTAAGCCTGGGTATGTCTAAGAGTGCTCTGGCATCACCTGTGGGAGGGAAGGGATGGAAGCAGAACTGCCTTGTGTTGTCAGGAAGATCTTAGCCAGTCCTAGAGTGAGTGCTGAAGCTTAGGTGACCCTTCAGAGTTGTCTTGAGTCAGGACAAGTACCTTAATATTCCCATGTTGATAGATTACTGTGTGAGGGAAAAGAGTTTGTGATCTGAGGCCAAGTTGCTGATGGAACTGAGTCTGTTCCAAGGGAGGTTGAAATCCTTCAGACCTGAGGATGCTGAGCAAGTCATGATGATGTTCACCACAATCTTCCCTCAGGTCCACTTCCTGGTATAAATCTGGGAACTCCTCCTCCAGGATTGGGGTGGGGCTTTTGGGGAAACTGTTAAAGTGGAAGGTTGGGAGATGAGTTACAGCCCATACTGCTACAGATAGGCCTTAATTGATACTCATGGCTTTTCCCTCTACCCTTCATTCTAGATTTCTCTCACTTCTGGTCTCAGTGGCTTAGCTGAGCATAACCCAGACCTTCATGTGTAGGTGTTCCATGGTTTCGATGTCCTTTTCAGACTGTGGCAGCTAAACTTGTCAATATACCTTCAAAGTTGAAGAGTCCCAAAAGGCACACAGACACACCCCTTGCATGCCAAACATTCCTCCTTGGCCTCCTGTAGTATAAAAGCAGCTGAGCCTTCTAATTAACTAGTGTCAATCACTCCTACCTGGATGATGACTTCTGCCTTTTCTGCTATCTCTTGGCTAAGGTACCCAAGAAACAACTGTAACTAACATTTCAACAGGACTGCTGCTGTGTTCCCTGGGAAAAGCATTGTCCCTTTTGGAAACAGCAAGAACAGGAACAATTTCCCAAGTTGCAAGAACAGGAACAATTTCCCAAGTTGCAAGAACAGGAACAATTTCCCAAGTAGGTCACTTTGAAACTCCAGCTTCTGCCCCTGTCATCTCCTTGTTGAGATACCCACACCACAGAAAAGTCATTGACTTAAAGTGCACACAGCATCCTGGAGGATTGTAGCCCACCTCGTGAGGTACTGCCTGTGGGCTGCTGCTTTAGTTGTGCCTGCAAAATAACACTCCATTGCACTACCAGGCCCATAGCTTTTGTGGTGCAGTATGACATCACCAGTGGACTTCATTGCCTTGTGTCTACTCTCACACCTCCTTTGTTATAAAATGGGTCCCTTGGGCTGATGTAGCATGAGATGAGACACCATTAGTCAGATACTCTGAGCAGGAAAGGCACATCCAAATTCAGAATATGTGTCTGTTTCTTACTGAAACAAATGGCTGCTTTTTCCAGGATCAAACAGGCCCTGTATGGTCAACTTGGTCTTCTTGGAAAGTATTAAAGAATGAGGGGGGGGGGATTCTGTAGCACAATGCCACAAGTAGGGTGGCTTAAACAACATGTACCTCACAGTTCTAGAGGCTGGCAGTCCGAGATCAAGGTGCTGGTAGGTTTGGTTCCTCTGAGGCCTTCCTCTTTGGTAGAGGGCTACCTTTTCAGTGGCTCATGAGGCCTTTTCTCTGTGTTCACACCTCTCATATCTGTTCTTCTTATAAGACAACTAATCCATTAGGTCAGGTCTCCACCCTTATGACTTTACTTAACTTTATCTCTTTAAAAGCCTTAACTCTAAATATAGTCAAGTTCTGAGGTGCAGCTGGGATTACACATTTGGGGGTACATAGTGCGCTTTATCAAAGAGAGTCAGTCACTAGGCCTCTAAAAATGTTACTAAGGTAGTGGACCCCTAAATCCTTTTTTTTTAAATAATGTTTTTAAATTATTATTTTATGTGGTGGTGAGGATCGAACTCAGGGCCTCAAACATGCTAGGTGAACACTCTACCACTGAGCCATTGCCCCAGCGCCCCCCTGAATCTTTATCATAGAGTTTCTCTCCCACCCTCTGAAACACATGCTTTTTATTGTAGCCTTTAAAGTACTAGCCACTTCTTATTTTTCTAGTATGATTAACATGATCATGTCAGTGAAGACAGATGATGTTTTATGCTCATCCAACCAACAGAAAACCCATTGACTATATGATGACAGAGGGTAGGGGAATTAACACAGATCCAAGGCAAGACCAAAAGGCATCTGCTCAGCCCTTCAACTCTCATACATCTTGCCCCACAGGTCAAGAACCACCATGGGTGGTTGTGCCAACACCCCATACATCTGTTCCATTCAGAAATCAGGGAATTGGCCACTGAGTGGGTCCTTAAACCCAGGAGATCCAGTGTGAGCTGGGTTTGGGCCAAGATTCCAGGGATTGTTTGACTTCAAATGTCCCCATTACAAAAGAGGGGCAGGTGGGGTCCACAAAGACTCTGCATAGCCTAATTTCATTCTTACCTTAACCCCTCTATTCAGCAGACTGCAGAACATGTGGGTACTCCCTCCAGTGGTTGGTGACCTGAGTAAATGGCTGCCAGTTCTTTGGGCAAGGTGTCAGGGAATCACTTGTTACCTTATCCATTTGGTGTTGCAGTGTCCTTCCCCCTGAAGATCCTCTCCTTTCGTCATGGAGTTTCAGGATGAAAAGTGACTAGGATTTTGAAACAATATAAGGGATCATGGCTAGTTATTGGTGTGACTGCTGTGAACCACCTGGTTATCCATTCTTAAATTATTTTGATTATGCCTATCAAGTAGTCTACTATTTGCTGTCTATTTCACCTGGGGATTCTTTGTCTGTCAACCATCTCTATAACTCCTTGGGCAAGCCCAGCTCATATATCCATTACATACATTTGTGTGTGTGTGTGTGTGTGTGTGTGTGTATATATATATATATATATATATATTTTTTTTTTTTTTTGGAAGGGGGTGCATACTGAGATTGAACCATTGAACCAGGGTCATTTAGCCACTGAGCCATGTTCCCAGCCCTACCTTCTTGTTGTTTTTTTTGTTTTGTTTTTTTTTTTAATATTTTTTAGTTGTAGTTGGGCACAATACCTTTGTTTTATTTATTAATTTTTATGTGGTGCTGAGGATTGAACCTGGGCCTCGCACATGCAAGGTCAGCACTCTATCACTGAGCCACAACCATAGCCCCCTACCTCCTATTTTTAATATCATGATAATTGCATTCACCTGACTTAACCAGTAAGCAATTGAGCTCTGTGACCTGATCTTTAGAATTTTAGGATCATTTTTTGGGGGGGCAGTCTTGGAGGGTACGGGGGATTAAACTCAGGGGCAATTACTGAGCCATATTTTCAGGCCTATTTTGTATTTTATTTAGAGACAGGGTCTCACTGAGTTGCTTAGCGCCTTGCCATTGCTGAGGCTGGTTTTGAACTCAAGATCCTGTCTCAGCCTCCAGAGCCACTGGGATTACACCCAGCAGAATTTTAGGATCTTGTGATTCCCACATTTCTAGAATATGTAGTGCATTGACACATTATTACCAGCTAGTTTCATTGTTAAATGATACCAGTTCATCACTGGTGAAAGTTCCCTTTGGGAACTGCTGTGTTATGCAAGGAGTATCTGTGCTGCATCCCTCACCAGTGCTGAAATCTTTAGAGCCAGCCAGGTGGGTGAGCCAGCTTCAAAATCCCATCTTAATACTTGCTCTCTTAGGCCTCCCAAGTACAAACTGTCCCAAGTTGGACAGTCCTGGAGGCAGTCTTTGAGATGTAGATTAACCTGCAGAGACACCTTTGGAGTCACCACCTAGGAAACAGGAAAGGGAGGGAGGAGGGCAGGATGTAGGATGGGAGGAGAGGAAAGAAGAATGAGGACTGGAATGTAAGAATGAGAACAGAAGGGAAGAAGCAAGATTTGGGGGGGTAGGGAGACCATGGGCTACATACAGCCCACACTTAAGCCAATCCCACAGAGAGCTATAGAGCTAAAATGGCACTTTGAAGTTGTCCTGAGTCAGGTAAAGGGACCTGGACCTCAGCCACCTACATTGACCAGGCATTAAAAGTGGGCTGTTCCACATCAGGGAAGTCACATTGCCCCGTTATTAGTAACAAAATTCGATCACTTGTAATTTTTGCCTGCCAGATCTCACCATTGTAGAGACACCTTTTCTTACTTTAAAATTAATCAGTAAAATGATACTTTCAGACCGAAAAACTTGCTTCTGGCTGGGCATGGTGCCTCACAGTTGTAATTCAGGCCACTTGGCAAGCTGAGGCAGGAGGATCACAAATTCAAAGCTAGCCTCAGCAACTTAGCAAGTCCCTAAGCAATTTAGTGCATCCCTGTCTCAAAATAAAAATAAAAAAGGGCTGGGATTTGGCTCAGTAGTTAAGGACCCCTGGGTTCAGTCCCCAGTACCAGAAAAGAAGGCCCCAGGATGGGGATGTAGCTCAGTGGTAGAGCACTTTATCCCCAGCACTGCAAAAAACAAAACCTGCTTCTTCATGACCGTGGTTTTATGGCAGCTTTCTGATCTCTTTTTTGCAAAGTGTTGATTTTCCTAAGTGTTGATCATTTCTTCTCCATTTATTACCAGGCAGTCTTCTATAAAGAAAAGTTCTCCCACCTTTTCTAATATCACTATATGGTCAGAAATTCTTTTTTTAATTCAATATGAATGTGTTCTAATCTATCACAGTTATTTTGATGATTAAATCATCCCCTATTTGACCAGTGGGAGCCTATACAAGCCATGGTATTGGTTTTTGTGTTTTATTCCATACCAGAAATTGAACCCAGGGGCACTGTAAAACTTAACTACATCCCCAGTTCATTTATTTATTTTGAGACAGGGTCTCAAATTTAAGTGGCTGAGGCTAGCCTCAAACTGTAATCCTCTTGCCTCAGCCTCCTGAGTCCCTGGGATTAATCAGCATCACTACACCCAGCACCACTGCCATATTCTTGTTCCATGGCACTATCATTCATTGGGCATTTCCTTACTTGATTTTCTAGGCTCCCCTTGTGCTTTCCTTGGAAGGGCCTCATCTCTTTAAGGGGGCTTAGTTCTTTTTAGTGAGGAATAGTTATCTATGAATAAACATGTGCTAACAGACCTCCATTAGCACAGTGACATTTTTGCTTTAGGGACCTTGAAGTGGATGGAACATATGTTGTATTTAATGTCCTAAGTGCATATTGATATCACTAATTGAAATCTAAAACAGCACATTCCTTTCCTCCTTCTGTGTCAACTTTATATCTTCCTTCTCTCAAAGGGAGAACACTGGCTTCGGTAATATATAAGGGTTCCTTTGTCCTATAATGCCTCTGCCTGCTTGTTAAGTTTTTGTTTTCTTTTCATGACTCACCCCAATGGTTTTAATCGTTGGCTTTATAAAGCTGACACTTTAATATAACACTTTATCTCACATTTTTCCTGAATGCCATACTGGTGTGGCTCACTGCATCTAATAACCAATGTCTGTCTGGATTTCCTGTATACACCTTAATATAATTAATGCCCAAAGCTAAAATCATTGTTCTTTCTCTGTGTTCTTCAGAAAGTGGGAGCTGTTTTCATCTCATTCACTGTTAAGTACCCAGTATATAGCATAGTACCTAGCAAGTAGTCAGTATTCAAATAAATAAAAGCTTTTTTAGAACAATTCATCTTGCAGTAATGTATAAAATGGAGTAGAACACAACTCTGAAGATAATAAAACACTGAACTATATACTTTAGAAGGGCAAAGTTTATGCAAGATGAATTATATCTCAATGAAACTGTTATTTTCAAATAAAAAAATTAGAAACAGTAAGTGTGAAGGCCAGGAAATAGGAACCTACTGCAAGAGTTATTGCAGTGAAATAGAGAGCTGCTTTCTTTAAGGGCACTGGAACCCAAGTTAACTGTAGACAGCTTAGTAGGGCACAAGTTATGTTCCTCACCACTACTACTATGTGCAGAAAAAACTATCTTCTTGTGTGTAGTTGGCAAAGCATACTGAAGCCATGTTCAGTTTTTTTCCTCATGATCCTATGTTGGGTCTGTTAAGAGAAATGCAGAATTTCTAATAAAAGTGCCATTTCCGCTGGGTATTGCTTTCCTTTATACATAGTTAATTAGCTGGTGTTTAAAAGTAGAGTAAAAAAAAAAAACAATTGATGGCACGTTCATTTGAACAGCAGTTACGTAAATTTTCTCACTTTTAAGTTGCAACACAAATGAAAAAGTTGATGTCACTAAGATGGGAAGAATTTGTATTTCAATTAAAAACACTCAATTTCAAAAATAGACAATGAATGAATGGGCTATTACTATCTTTTCTCTCATCGGATTGTTAAAAAAAGCAGTTTTAGAGTAGGGGGAACCAATCCTATGCACTGTTGATTCAACTTTACAGTTATTTTGAGAGCAGTCTGGCAGTGTTTGTTTTAAAATGTACAGTTTGTACTTTGCATAGTACTAGCAATATCATAGCCAATGAGGTTTATCCAAGGCACAATTAGTAACTGAAAATTTACATAATTTGAGTCATTGATTCTACCTCTAATAATACACCAAAGTATACAAAGACTAAGTGCTGAAAAAGGTAGCACTTTACTAATGTAGAATGTCCAAGTTGAAGCAAAGTGCATAATATGACCCTTTAATTTTCAGAAATCTGGCCTCGAACTTGCGATCCTCTTGCCTAAACCTCCCTAGTAGCATGCAGTTGGGATTACAGACATGCACCATGACACCCAGCTTCTCATCAGTTTTGAGTATGAGCAACAACCAAGAGTTTGCAGGATCTGGGGAAAACTTAAAACAAAGATTGGCAGGCAAACCAGGTCAAACTCATGAAGAATTTTTTTCCTTTTACATTTTGAAAGGATTGTCTGAAGCAAAACAAAAGAAGCAAAGAATATGTTGCTGAGACCCTATGTGGCCCAGAAGGCCTCAAATATTTACCATCCGGCCCTTTACAGAAAATGTTTGCCAACCCGCTGGAACAGAAAAACTAGATACCATGCAGGAAAAGCATCAGATAGAATTATTAATATGTAAAATAAATATCTTAAGGAATTATTAAAAATACAAAGAATAAAAAAATGCAACAGAATTATCAAGTTAAAAAAACAACAAAGAAAAAAGATAATGTGGATAGAAAATTCAAAAAGAAAAGACCAATCCAGAAAGTTAAAATCCAAAGAGCAGGAGTTGCAGAAAGAAGGAACTCTTCAACAAAATAATTGATGAAAATGTCCTTGGACTACAGGTTTTTATATTTTCTTGACTGAGTCTCCATAGCTAAAAAAGTCTTAAGTATTCAACACAATGTACAAAAGGACTCCTTATCAAGATCATTGTAAACTTTCACAATAATGAGGACAAAGGTATCTAAATGTTTTGGGGGCTGGATGGGTATTGAGGGTGTAGCCTGATGGCAGACCATGTGTTCAGTTAACATGATCTAGGCCCTGGGTTTGTTCCCCTGCACCAAAACCCAACAACAACAACAAAAAGCTTTCAGAGAAGAAAAACAAGCATCCCAAAGTTCAGATATCAAATGGTTTTAAAACTTTTGAAGTGTCACATGGAGGCAGGAAGATGAAAAAGCCAAATCCCTTTAAAAATTCAGAAGGAAATCAATTTCAAACCTAGAATCTTTACCCAAGCAAATATTTCTAAATGTGCAAATGGAATAGACATTTTAAGGCACAGGTCTTAAGATCTTGGGAGCCTTTTTGTTGGAAGGAGTACAGTACTGATTTCTTTACAGGTTTGCACTTGCTAAGTGATTTTTTTTTTTTCAATCAATGTTCAATTCATTGTTAAGAATATAGTTGATAGAAAAATAAAATGATTGACTCCTTTCTAAATATATGCACTTACATTTTTAATGGTTTTTAAAAGTTATATACATCAACTGTAAAATATTTGAGAATAGGTTTTATGTTTTTATATAGTTTATATTTTTTGGAATTCACATTTTTTTTTTTTTTAATTACAAAATAAGTGCCCTACAAAGCCAACATGGCACATAAACTCAATTCAGGCATCCAATCTTGATGGTTATATGAATGTGAATATCATACTTAAATATTTTCCTGATGTTTACAAAAGGATTTTATTAGAAAATTTATTTTGGGACAGGGATGTAGATCAGTGGTAGAGCACTTGCCTAGCATATACAAGGCCTGGGTTGATCCCCACCCAGCACTGGAAATAAATAAATAAAGTGAGTATATGCCTAGAATTCTGTATCCCATGTATGAGAAAAACCAAATGCCTCCAGTAGCATTTTGCTGAAAGACTGCAAAAGGAAATTTTTTCAAAAGAATGGCAGCCAGGGCTGAAGGTGTGATGTGCAACCCCTCGTAAGCTGGCCCCAAAGAAACTAGACTTTTTAAGGCGTGTTAAATTAGAAGAGCTTCTTAAATTTCTTCCAAAAAATAATTTCATAGTAGCATACTAACATTTTTAATGTTTTAACACCTCATTTTGAAAGGTGCAGTCATTTTTCCTTAAGAGACAATGATTTTCTTAAGTTGTTTATTGTAAGATAATTTACAAACATCTTGCTGTCTTTAGTAATTCAAACAATGAACCACATTTCTTCTGACAGACAGCAGTAAGCTAAAAATAAAATCAGCTCAGAGAATTTTCCTTCTTTACCTGAAAAAGAAAAGTAAAAAACAAGTAAAAACCATATAGTATTTTTTGGGGAAAATAACGATGTCAAGAGATAACATATTTTAATTGGAACATAAAGAACTGAATTTATAAAATATTCCAGTGATTCTCAAATTTTGGTCTGTGGAAACTTTTTATAAGGGCAAAACTATTTTCATACTACTGTTATTTTTTGTTTTATTCTCATTTTATTCATAGAGTGTATCATGATTTTTCAGAGGCTACATGATGCATGACATCACAACAAAATGAATACAAAGCCAGATGAAAATCTAGCTGTCTTCTGTTAATCAGACATTAAGGTGTTCTTTGACCATAAATTTTGAGAACCACTCTTCACTAACCTACACATGATATCTCAAAATAATGTTAATTCTCAATCCTTCCATATACTTTTCTATGACCAACCAATTTATTAAAAAATTCCTTAAAGTTTATTTCCTTCCATATCTTTTCTATGACCAACCAATTTATTAAAAAAAATTTTTTTTTTTTTTTTTTTTTTTTTTAAAAAAGCGCCCCAAAGCCCACTAGCTTCCATAAATTGGCTATTACTACAAATTGCCCTGCTCATCTAAAATCTCTTAGAGAAGCAGTTTTGTTATTGCTAAACTGGCTTTAGTTTTATCTGGCTAGGTTTCTTTTCTGAAGGAGTATGAGAAGAGCAAGTGCACTTTACCTCTCATCTGGGGATGGAACTTGATCATTAATCCCTGGTTATTATATTAGAAGAAAAAGACAAACACAAAACAAGCACGTCAAAAAGCAGTCCATGCTAGTTAATCATAGTCCATTTCTTTACATGCTACCTTGAGTATATCATATAAATGCTAACCCAAGTATTCCTTTAAAAATAACTAAATGATATAAAAAGCTATAGATTTCACTGTGGTTAGAAGCAACAAAAACATGTTCATGCAAGTAGGCAAGACTGAACATACAAATTTAAGTTACTATTTTTTCTATAGTTTAAGCTAGCAAATTGCCACCTCAAATATTATGGTTTATTCACGCATTTAATTTCATTACTAACTAATCAATGTGTTTGTAATTACATATTACAATTTTGAATCATAAATGGTGAGTTATAGAACATTCAAGTCCAGTCATAAACGATCCAACTTTGGGACTGCATAGCTAACTTCTAAAATAAAGATTTAGATTACACTTCTAGAGTAAAAAAGTAATAGTCAAGTTCCAATTATCTGGATTTTGTCCCCCCTAAAATTCTCAGTTTTATGTCCCAATTCCCCACTCCTCATTTCCATCCTGATTCTCATTTTTACACAAGTTTTATCATCACAGTTCATAAATCACCTTTTCAAGAGCAAAAAAGTACTTTTGAGTCCCCTGGATGATCTCACACAGCACCCAGGCCTTCAAAATGCAGCCCTCTCTCCCCCTCCTCTCCCTACCCGGGCCTTCTCAATCCATTGTAGGACATGGTCCCATCCTAGCCTCAGGAGCATAGAGAAATAAAAAGACAATTTTAAAAAAATAATTGTTTAGTTGTAGATGGACCCATACTTTTATTTATTTATTTTTATGCAGTCCTGAGGATTGAACTTGGTGCCTCACATGTGCTAGGCAAGTGCTCTACCCCTGAGCTACACCCTCAGTCCCAAAAAGACAAATTCTTGATATGTTGTTAAGTGCCAAGATAAAGGGAAGCACAGAATTCCAAAGAAGAGTATCTTACTCAAACTGTGAAGGAGGGTTTTCTAAAAGAAAGGATTCCCCTAGCCCAACTGGTAAGGATAAACATGAAGCAATTAGATAACGAATCCAAAGATCAAAGGGAAAATAAGAATGACATTTTAGGCAAAAGCTCAAACCACTTCTTTAGAGGTGAGAAAGAGAATGATGTATTTGAAGACCTGAACAGAGATCAAAATGATTGAGGTTCAATCAAGCAAGAAATAATAAGAGATTAGACTGGAAAGAGTGTTGATGGCCAGAATACATAGGATCCCTTATAGTAATGCAGAATGATTATATTATAAAGAATGGATTCTGTTATTTTCTTAATAATGTACTAAAGATCAGCAATTTTTTTCTGTGAATCATATATTGTCTGACTTTTTATAATCCTTTAAAAATGTAGTTCTGGGCCAGTTTGCTAACCCCTGTGTTTTATTCAACATCTGTTTTTTTCTGTTAAGACTGTACCACGCATGCTACAAACAGTTTCTGTTTGTTTTAAGTGCCTGTGAAGTGTCAGGTGTAGTGGTATACACCTGTAGTCCCAGTTACTTGAGAGGCTGAAATGGGAAAATTGCTTGAACCCAGGAGTTCAAGGTCAGCCTAGACAACATAGTGAGACCCTATCTTAAAACAGAAGCAAATACAAAAACTTTAACCCCCACATTTTCTTGAGGAGGGTTGGTACTGGGAATTAAACACAGAGGCACTTTACCACTGGGCTACATCCCCAACCCTTTTTATTTTGAAACAGGGTCTTGCCAAGTTGCTGAGGCTGGCCTCTAACTTGCAATTCTCCTGCCTCAGCCTCCCAAGTCATTGGGATTACAGGTGTGCACCACTGTCCCAGCTCAACCCTTTTTTAATTCAAGAGAGAAATCTATGTTAGATGGGCCTAAAATATTACATAGGTATTTAAATTAGTAGGAGGTTAAGATGGAATAAGTCAAAGTTAATTTGCTATACATTTCATCTTTCATCACACATATATTTTCCTTATACTATTAAAATATAAATGTCTTGAAAGAGGATTACATCCTTAACACTGTGCCTAGCATTGTACTTTGCACACTGTAGATGTTCAACTTAATAATTTTTTAACAAAATTCCCATTATCTTATCCTTTGTTTCACAATCACTAAATTTTCTCTACCAATTTTCTTGAGGAAGGCAGTATGTATCTTATGGTACTCGAATAGAAAACAACAATTAAAAAGAATTCCTGGACTCTACCTCTATTCAATGGTTTATAGAGTTATGCAAAACCAGTCCTATAACTCACAAAGTATGGCTTATAATGCTTTAACTATCAAAGATAGATTTTACAAATGATAATCATTCATATCCTCCTTCCTAACACTTATGGAAAAGTGAAAGCTAGCAATACCATGATCCCTGAACAGAAGAAACTAAGCCTGACTGTTTCAACTGAAACAATAAACCAAAGAGATCTCATTTCCATCAAATCATTATATCCTAAGAGTAAGGACAAAAGATTAAGCAATGAATCATTTCAACCTTAATAGACAAAACAAAACACAAAACTTTTAAGCAGCCAAGGCTAAACAAGCACATGCAAGGTGATGAGTCAGAAAAACCCCTCTGAGGGAACAATCTGCAATTACTTACAGAGCTGCAGCACCAGAGATAATTTCAATCAACTCTTTTGTGATGACAGCTTGTCGGGTGCGGTTGAATGTCAAAGTCAATTTATCAATCATCTCAGCTTCCAAAAAAAAAAATAAATAAAATAAAAATAAAACCAAACAAGAATAATTGGTTAATTAGACTCTTGCTCATTTTAAAATTAAGAGTTTTTTTTTTTTAGTTGTGGATGAACACCAGTATCTTTATTCTTATGTGGTGCTGAGGATCAAACCCAGTGCCTCACAGATGCGAGGCAAGCACTTTACCACTGAGCTACAGATCCACCTCAAGAGATTGTTTCTTCTTGGATTCCCAAACTGACTTCTCAAAAAGAATTTTATGAAGGTATTTTTATATCTTCCATAGGCTACCTTGCACAGTATTTGCAAATCTATCAAGTAAGATGCATTTCCCTCTAAGGCAGAGAATATATTGTTAATGGTGTCCCCCCCGACCCCCTCTGCTCGATTATGGTACTGGAGATTGAATCTAGGGGCACTTTAACACTGAACTACATCCCCAGTCCTTTTGTATTTTTATTTTGAGACAGAGTCTTACTAAGTTGACTTCAAACTTGGGATTCTACTACTTCAGCCTCGGTTTATAGGCATGAACCACCACACCTGGCTCCTGTTTTTTGATGCTACTCTGGGCAACATCAGCAGAGGTACACCCTGGGCTCACAAACATTACTGCTAGTTCTGTCCTTATTGTGCGCTTACAAGCGTTTTTGCTGGCATTATCCATAGCTGTCATTCTAGCACTTTGTTCGCTGGTGGTAGACTCCTTCAGGGAGTAGTAGATGATGTTGGCCAGATTGTATTCTTGGTAATTTTGCAGCACATCAGCATCAATATCATCATAGATGCTCATGCTCTCTGTTAAAATAAGGGATACATTTCTTTGAAATTATACAGAACAAAGACTAAGTTCATCAAAAACAACTTAATAGTATAAAAATCCTTTATAGACATTTTAAAGTTAAATAAATCTGTTCTAATAATTTCATCTATTTCTGTACTATATATCATAGCATATTTTCAGCAAAATATAATATGTTAACAAAGCCTTTGATATTCTATTTGAGAAATTTAAATACAAAGAAGCTGACATTCAAAACAATTACTAAACTTCATGGTTGTTAAGTCCTCTGGATAGCACCAACCAGAGTATCACAAATCCAGCAATTTTTTTTTCAATAAAACAATTACTTCCCTCACCAGCCACTATAGTGTGATACAATAATTTCAAGTTAGCCATTTAATTATTGAAGAAATATGAATGTCAACTGGAAAATTAAATGAAAGAATCTTTCTAAGCATAAGAAAGAATGGGAGAACTAAAAGCTGATATGAATTTCAGTTTTAATGTTGTAAAAACGTATCAGCCCATTTCCCTCCTTCCATTTCCCTGGATTGAACCCAGGAATGTTTAACCACTAAGCCACATCCCCAACCCACTCCTACTTTTTTTTTTTTTTTTTAAATATATTTTCAGTTGTAGGTGGACACTACCTTTCTTTATTTTTATGCAGTGCTAAGGATTGAACACAGTGCCTCACATGTGTGAGGCAAGTGCTGTACCACTGAGCCACATCCCCAGCACCTCCAGCCCTTTTTATTTTGGGTCAGGGTCTTCCTAAGTTGCTTAGGGCCTTGCTTTAATTGCTGAGGCTGATTTTGATCTTGCAGTCTTCCTGCCTTAGCCTCCTGAGCTGAGGTGTGTATCACTGCACCAGGTTTGTAACAGGATATTCTGGACAAATACTACATTCCTTAGTGTACAACTCTCTCCATTCCATATCTAAAAATACTTTCCATATAAAAACTACTTACCAGCACTTGCAATAGTATTAAGAGAAAAGATGGGCTTTTCTTCTGTCTTATAGGAGATTACAGACCTAGAAATCATAAAAGCAAATATAAATCTCAATAATTTTTAAATTAAAACATTTAGTTATTTGAAAACATGAATAGAAAAGAACTTTGAATTCTAATTGTTTCTTGCCTGAATCGATTAAAGATGATAGAGCCTTCATCAAACTCATATCCAGAATTTAGTAATTCAAGAGCAATGACCGATGCATCTCCAAAAGTAGGGGGCTTTCTTCCCACGTCTTTGAATGTCACCAAAAACTGATCCGAATGTGTCCTACA